AAAATTAAAATCCTAGTCAACATATAGGAGCTCTGGTAGCATAGTGCCTAAGGCACTTGACTGTTCACCAGAAGGCTGGCGGTTCAAACCCACCAGCCACTCCTCAGAAGGAAGGTTGGGCAATCCTACTTCCGTAGTGATACTGCCTCAGAAACCCAAGGGGGGGTTGCTATGAGTAGGGACCGACTCGATGGCAAACAACATTCCTAAGTAGAGGACAAGGCCAAACTATTCCCAAACCCCTCTTCCTCTTACCCACTCTCTAGGACCTGGTCCCTGGGAAGTCTCCTTGGGTCAGTCAGCTCTTTAAGAGTTCTTTCTCCTATGATCCTATAACCTGCCTTCCACCCTGACCCTGCTAACCACTGTAGTCAATCTTTCATATGCATGTTCCTGGCTCAAGGCTCACTCTATTCTTCCCACAAAGAGTCTCAGAGCTATACTGTGTGCCAACCACATGTGTGCCCTCAGAAACTCTCCACTCCAGGGGTGTATGTGTCTGTACACCAACCCTGTAGCCCCAGGGAGTCCCTGTACTTGTGGAGAGGCAGAGAATCTGCGTTATGGTGCAACAGTCCTGCAGGCACCAGCCAGTTCCAGAAGGGGAGCAGAAGGAACCCCAAGTAGGATCTTCAAGGGCTGTGAGCTTCCAAGGGAAACACCATAGGAAAAGGAGAGAGACTTGGCTCAGGGATGTGTAGGTCCTGCAAGGAGGTCAGTGGTATTGGAGAGGCAGGAGGCATGTTTGGGTCCAGGGCTGTATTCTATGCCATGAGAAGCCTGAACATTACTCTTCATCCAGTAAAAAAACCAATAACAATGTGAGAGTATATATATATCCAGGTGAGAAAAAGGGTGGGTCTGGGAGGTCAGGGAAGGCTTTGTGTAGAAAGAGGAAGGATGGGCCACAAGGGAAAAGGGAAGCACTTGGGAAGAGGAGAGGGGCACTAGAGACATCTTCTCCCAGGGTCTTGGAACAGACTAATGTGACTCAGCAGGAAATTAGCTGAGCTGGAAAAGTAGAGTCAAGGATAGGAGGCCTTGAGGTCTGGCTGGAGGTTCCAAGGCTCACTCATCTTTTTCTCTTTTTTAAATTGTGGTTTGAGTGAAAGTTTACAGAGCAAATTAGTTTTCCATTCAACAATTTATACGCATTTGTTTTCTAACATTAATTGCAATCCCCTCAATGTAACAGGACTCTTTTTCTCCCTGAGTCTCCATTTCCTTTGGTATCCATTCGTCATTTGCTGCCCCTTCTTGCCTTTTGAGCATTGTTTTTTGGGTTCACTCTTCCAGGTACCGCCCAGCGGGCGTCGCAAGGGAACACACGGAGAGGCGCCCCGGAGTTTAGCATGCCCAACCGCGCTAACGTGGCTGAGCCTTGCTGGCAGATCTTTTGTCCCGGCGACGCAAAGGCAGCGTCAGCAGGGCCAGGCTCATATATATGGGAGCTGACCCGCGCGGGTGCGCACACCATGGCTCAGCGCTCCGGGAAGGTGAGTGCGCCTTGGCGGGGGCTTCGGGACCTAAGTAAAAGGGACCGGAGACCGCGCGGCTCCCCATAGCCCCCATCACCACTTTTACACGGAGACCTGAAGAGGATACAAAAAGTCACCTGCTGTGCTCGCTAGTCTAAGGCTTTGTCATATGCAAAGTTAGCACAATTTCCTGATGAAATGGGGGCCCCCTGGCTGTTGACCCAGTGTTAGGAAAGGTCACTCGGGGTGTGTGTGTGTGTGTGTGTGTGTCTGTGCACGCCCCCACTTCCCTTTCCTAGCTCCCTCCCTTTCCTAACCGGGGCCAAGCTCCAGCTAGGAGGAAGGATGGTGGTCCAACACTAAGGCTTTTGTAGGATGGGAAAACCTTGACTGGCACTTAGACCTCAAGGCCCCACTCTGGCTTCTTGTCTGAGACTGTTCTAAATGTGAGTTGGCTCACTGAAAATGTTGAGAATGGAGTACCCTCTAATTTTGGTGCCCAAATTTCCCTGCTCTCTGAGACCCTGTGCTAAGGGTTTGTCTGTACTCTTCCCTACCTAGCTCTCCTGAGAAGCCACTTTCAAGGGACTGTGTCAGTCTGGACCAGCTGGGTCTTGCTTCAGTAACAAACAACTTGCTATCCCAGGGGCCTCAACAATTAAAACATGCTGTGCTCACAAGGTGCATCCCCAGTGGGTCTTGTGCTGTGTCCCTGCCATGTTCACCCTGCACCCAGGTCTGCAGAGCTGCATGGCAGAGAAAATCATGTACTGGCTTTTAAGGCTTCCACTGCCACTCACATTTCTGTGGCCAAGGTACAGGGCCACACTTGGCTCCAAAGAGACTGGAAATGCAGTTCTGCTGCCTCCTCCTGGGAGGAGAATTGGAAATATTGGTGACATCACAAATGACCATTGTGGGTTCCAGGCTTCCAGGTAACATTATTTGCATGGAGGCTATTATTGTTTCACGTTGTTTTGTTTGGTGACAAGGAGAACCTGTCAGTGCTACATAGCTCTGGGGCACTATGGCAGAACCAAGTTCCAAATTTGACACATCCCTGGCACCCAAAGGAATAAGATCCCACTAAAGTCCCTTTTGAGAACGCAAATCCTGTGTCAGGCCCTGGAATGGAGTCAATTCAGGAGGCCCAAACCTAGGAACTTGCTTTTCTGGAAAATAAATGTGAGGTTATTATGATGGGGTTGTGGGTAAAGTGTTTTCTTTTGAAACATTTCCTTTAACATCATTATAGATGTTATATTTTAACAATTAAAAAAAATTAAAATGCAGTGGAAATTTGAAAAGAATCTATTTCAAATGACTCCTAGATAAAGGACAAATCTTTATAGTTAAATATTGACTGACATTTTGCTGCACAATTGAGGGCTCCTGGGGCTGGGAAGGGCCTAGGTGTTATGTCTAACAACCTAACCCACCATAGAAAGAAGAGAGAAAAATCCCTTCATTTCATTTCACCCCATCAACAAATCTCAGTTGAGCCCTACTGTATGACAGCTAGCCTGGGTGTTAGTGCCCTTGGAGCTGGAGGTTCCAGCTGAAATGAAAGAAGAGAAAGCCCCTTACCCAGCACCCTCTAACCTGGCCTTCCAGATCACCCTCTATGAGGGCAAGCACTTCACAGGGTGGAAACTGGAGGTTTTTGGCGACTGCGACAACCTCCAGGACCGAGGCTTTATGAATCGGGTGAATTCCATTCGAGTAGAGAGTGGGGCTTGGGTTTGCTTTGAGCACCCTGACTTCCGGGGCCAGCAGTTCATCCTGGAGCATGGTGATTACCCTGACTTCTTCCGTTGGAATGGCCACAATGACCACATGGGCTCCTGTCGTCCTGTAGGAATGGTGAGTGGGCCTTTCAGGAAATTCCTACAGGAATGACGGGGTGGCTGGGTGTGTGTGTGTGGGGGGGGGTTGTCAGACTTGGTCAGAAATGGAGACAACTAGGAGAACATGGCCCTCTCCACAGCTCTGCTCAGACCCAGCCACATCCTGGGTTGGAGATGGTATGGGGCCAAAATGCCGGGGATCACATTGGACATGCTTATGAGATGTTTCTAAGACTTTCACACTCAGCCTTTATGTGACCCATCTTCCCAGGCCCTGGACACACCATTCCAGAGCATGTCACCCCATCAAGAGGTGTCTTTCCTGTGTCCATCCCTCAGGGTCTTGCCAAGTGACCCAAACTCACCTGATTAGCCAATTTACAATCCAGTTCTCATGCATGCATCAGGAAATCACTTTAAATTTCTGATTCAAAAATTTTGCTACATTTCCAATTTAAAATGCCATACAAAATATCTTGATATAAAATTTGAATTTGCAACCAGATGAGGGGAAAAAAAAAAGGAAAGCAAATGCTAAAGTGAGGCTGATTTTGGCCTGGTGCATCACCTCTTGCAGGTAATTTTATAGCATTCTTCAAGGGTCCTCTGTGCTCTCACCTTGGAGTAACTAACAGGAGAAGTTCAAATAGGGAAAGCCAGTGAGGAAAAACTCTGGGAGTGGGGCCTAGAGGAGCCACACTGGGACTGCCTTTGCAGGTTTGGCCTCCTCTGTGTGTGTGTGTGTGTGTGTGTGTGTAGAGCAAATGCAGAATGCTCCTCCAAGGCTGAAGACTATTCATGCTTGGATGTCCCATGGGCTTGTGAGCAATGGGCTCCTTGAATCCTCACAAACCACAAGTACTAACATGCTGGGAGTTCCTGGCATTTGGGGTGGGAAGTGATTGGATCTTGAGACCAGGGGTGAACAGTGCTCATCACATGCGTGCAGGAGACTGCCTCCTGCACTCATGGCCAGGCAGTTCTGGTGAACATCTGTGGGACCCCTGGAAGGGATCTGTGTGGTCTACATTGGTGGCAAAACCAGCTGGGCTCTGGCATGTCAAATTGTAAGAACAATTTCTTCATATTTCTACCGGGCAATTGCCATTTGGAAAAAGAAATTAAAGTTGTTGCCCCTAGGTCCTCCATAATATATGCTATTTATCTGAAAAATATATTCACTACATAAATATATGTAGTGAATAGTGTTTTTCTAAGAGCTCTCCTGGGGCCAGCTTTGCCAGGGGCATCCAGGGCTTGCCCTGAAGTCCTCTGTTGCCTTCGGGAGACATAGCACAGAGAATCTTGTAGGGAGACACAAGTACTCACCCAAGTGTAGGGTCCAGCAGGATTTCAGCAAGAGAGACTGCTATTTATTTGAGGGTTTTGGCTTCATGTTTTAATCAAGAGTTCTATTACAATTTTTAAATATTATCCATGGTGTGTAGTCCAGAGAGGGGCAAAGGGTGGAAGACCATATTGGTGTGGCTAGGGCATGAGGGGTTGTCCCTTGAGGGGCTGGTGCTTTGCTGCTGGCCCATGGGCAACCTTTGGCAGGGCACTAGCCCTCTTTAATCCTTGGACTCTTTGTGTATAAAAAAAAGCAGATTGGACTAGTTCAGGTGGGTTGAAATTTTGAAAGTAATAGAAGCCACTCACCAAACCAAATCTTCTTTGGAAGAAAAAGCAGAAGTTCGGGTGGGGGGCAGCATTCACCTGACCCACAATGAGCTCAGCCCTAGGCCAGCCTAGCCTAGAGTAGCCCTGAACTTTGAGCTCAGTGCCTTGGGTAATTCTCAGTTCCTTCATGTAAGAGTCTTCTTTGCACAAGGGGGTGAACTCAGGATCACTTTCCTTCTTTCTTTCCTCTCCTCCTCGGATAATGGAGCATGGGGAGCACTTCCGCCTAGAAATCTTTGAGGGCTGCAACTTTACGGGCCAGTGTCTGGAGTTCACAGAGGACAGCCCCTTCCTCCAGAATCAGGGCTGGGCCAAGAACTGCATCAGCGCCCTCAAAGTGTATGGGGATGGAGCGTGAGTAATACCACATGGGGCCATGCCCTCTTCCTGGGACAGGAATCAGACTCCCACAAGTGGGCAGCATGCCCCCACCTCAGAGGCCCTTTTCTACCCTCAGATAACCCACCCCCAGGCTCCCTGCCCTAGTCTAGCAGGAGCAGCTTCCTCCATGACCTAGGAAAGCCAAGGGAAGGAGACACTGGGTGCAACAGGGCTTTGAGGGGCCTTTCCTTCCGAGGGGTCATTAGCAGAACTGTGGTAGAGAGTACTTGGCAAATTGTAACAGTTCTCTAAGATTGGATTGATGCTGGAGATGATGCTTTGATTCTCTAGACTCCAGGGAAGCCCACTTACCAAGAGATTCCCCAGGGGCCTCAAGGCATAAGGCTCCCAATGAACACACTTGTTCTGAGGAAGCTTGCCTTGGTTACCCAGTGCTTCTATAACAGAAATACCACAAGTGGGTAGTTTTAACAAACAGAAACTTATTTTCTCACAGTTTAGAGGCTAAAAGTCGGAATTCAGAGCTCCAACTCTAGGGGAAGGCTTTCTGTGTTAGTTCAAGGGGAAGATTTTTTAAAATCTCTTTTCAGCTTATATTCCTAGGTTCTTTGGTGATCATGTGGCTTGTATCTTCCCCTCTGTTGTGCTTGGTTACTTGCTTAGTCTGTTCTTGTATTTCAAAGGAGATTGATTTAGGACACACCCTACACTAATTATTTCCTCATTAATGTAACAAAGGAGACTAGAATCCTAAATCACACATGGGATGATGTCCCATATGTGGGTTAGGATTCCAACATATGTTTTGGGGGGACACAATTCAACCCATAACAAAGGTGAAACTGGCCCTTTTAGTCAGTAGAGCTAACCCCTGAACTGGATGCTTCTCCCTCAGAGTAGGTAAAACCCACTGTGCTGGAGTTTTGTGGGGAGAGTTTGTTGTTGTTGTTTGCCATCAAGTTGGCCCCGACTCATAGTGACCCCTCCTTGGGTTTCTGAGGCAGTATCACTACGGAAGTAGGATTGCCCAACCTTCCTTCCGAGGAGTGGCTGGTGGGTTTGAACCACCAGGCTTCTGGTTAGCAGTCAAGTGCCTTAGGCACTATGCTACCAGAGAGCAGATCTCACTTCTGTGGATGAATGGGGCCTGGGAAGACTCTGCCTGGGCTCCAGGGGATATCTACCCTCTCCACTATGTGGCATCCAATAGGACCAGTGCAGTAAGTGCTGTGTTTTGCAGGCCAGCACCTTCTTTATCATCTCCACTTTGCAGAGGAGGTAGCTGAGAGGCAGAAAAGTTAGAGAATATTTGTGCTAGTCAGTGACACAGTAGTATTGCAGCCAGGCTTTTGATTTCCAAATTGTCCAATCCAAGAGCAGTGTCTCTCCAGGCCCTACCTCCATCAATACTGCAAGAGAGCTGCCTTTTTGGGTGTCTGCCTCTCCTGGTTGCCTCTCCCAGAGCCCAGTCTCTGTATTCCTGTAGCACATGATCAGGGCTGCAAATGAGGAGTCATAAGGACAGACTAAAGGAAGACAATGACTGAACAGAATTGAAACAGCCCACCTTTCTCAGGCAGCCTTGCTCCATGGTCTATGCCCCTTCCTGCTCTTTCCCCATCTTTCTGATGCTCTCCAGGGTTCTTTGCTCACCTCTGGCTTTCTTTTATCTCTTTCTCTTCCTTTGTGAAATTCCCTATTTGTCTTAAATTCATGACAGCTGGGAGTTCCATGTAAGGAGTCCTGAGACCCAAGAAGGAACCCCCCAGGCCCACTCCCAGAGACTCCTGGGACTTGTCTAGAAAGAAGTTGGGAAAGGGTGCTAGGAACTAGCATTTGGGGGCATATATAATTTCCTTCTCCATCTTACCTATGAGGAAGCAGAGGCTTGAGGAAATTTGTTGGTGGTTGCACACAATGTACACTCCACTTTAGGACCCAGGGCTCCGCATGAGGTTATAATTGGGGAGTGCACATACTTTGCTTCCTGTGACTTTAACTGTTCAAAAGAAATGGGAGCCCTTGGCAAAGAGAAGCTGCCTGCAGTTGATGCTCAAACAAGGCCTTTCCTGGGGTCTGGTAGGGGGGATTCCCTGAGGGGTGTGATGGGCTAGATGAGGGTTGGCTGCCCCAGGCTGATCTGAGTCCCTAGCAGGACTCCTGCTGGTTCACATCTCCCTCCCCAATCTCTGCATTCTCTGTCCAACCCTCAGCTGACTGTACCAGCAGATGTGAGGTTGTATTACTGGGGAGACAACCCTTGGGTGGCAGGGAGAAGCGCCAGCTCACTGACTCAGTGACTGCACAGCCTTGGTGGTCACTTCCCTTCACTGGAGCTCATCCGAAACAAGGGCAGTGGGCCAGAGGGGCTCAAAAATTCCAAGTTGGTGTATCATGCGGAAAGAAAGTGCCTTGAGGTTTGTGGACCAAAGTATAACCCTGTGACCTGGCCAGAGGGCCCCAAAGTCAGACCAGTGTACAGCTCTTATCAGAGGCTGTTCTAGCCCTGAATGCTACTGGGCCACCAGTCCCCTCCATGAAGAGAACACTGGTTCCCAGATCTTTTGAAAATGAACAAGAGGGAGTAAAGATTCTAAGATGGGGAGACCAGGTTAGCTCTGAGTACTTATGCAGTGGACTAAGCCTACTTACCAGCTACATCCCCCCACCCCCTACCCCCACACACACAACTTTAGCCTCCCCTTGGGACAGCCTCCAGACCTTGTCCCATAGTGGGAGTGGTTCAAAATGGAGCTTTTCAAGCCCTTCCATGCCCATTCCATACAGCACCACATCTAGGGACAGGCAGAGTTAGGAGATCTCTTCCTTGAAACACACACCCTTTCTCCAGGCAGAGATGCTCTCTGGGCTCTCCACTTATCCTGCCCACCCCACTTCCTCCAGAAGGAAACTATCCCTGATTACCTGGGCCCACTGCCCTTCACCTGAAGCCCTTCAGCTTTGTGGCCCACCCCCACCCCTAGCACAGGGTGCCAAGGTGCTCAGTAAAGACATGTCCACTGGCTTCTGCTCTCTGGATGTTAGCAGCTTACCCAGGAAACAGTGGACTAGTGGAAAGATGAGGGTAGAAGTGCACCCAGAATCACTCTTGGCCCTTGTGATGAACACTCTGGACTGGTCAGTTTAGAATGTCTTGGTTTCTGAGTACCACGAGGTGTGCAGTGCTGCAGCCTAAGTGGACTGTAGGGAAGGAAGCCAGCCAGGACAGGACCAGGCACCAGCTGTGGCCCTAGATGGAATTAGATTGCCTTGGGGGTAGCAGAGGATGCTGGGTAGGGTAGGGCTACCACGGTTCAAAGACTCTCCTCAGCTCAGGACACACTCTACTCAATGTTCCAGGTGGGTACCTTGCCCTCTCCCTCGCCTACCCAGCCTTCTCTTCTGTTTCAGGTGGGTCCTGTATGAGGAGCCCAACTACCATGGCCGTATGTACGTGGTGGAAAGGGGCGATTTCCGCAGCTGCTCTGACTGGGAGGCCCACAACACTCGCATCCAGTCCCTCCGCAGAATTGTCAACTTTTTTTAGCGAGGCCTGCCCGCTGGCCTCTGGCCAGGCTGTTCCTCGGACCAGGAGAGGCCCAGGGGGACAGGCAGGCCCTTCTGGCCACACCAGGGATGGTAGGGAATAAAATCATAAAAGCCAAAGTCTAATAAGTTCTTGGGTGCTTTCTCTTGTCCCTCTTGACCGCTTCCCCACAAGGCAATGGGGTGGGACAGCCCAGGTCCTGTGCCAAGCATGAAGATATAAGACTCCCTCCTGTACCGAGAGAGGCACATCCTTTCTTTACCCAACCAGACACTCACATTCCCCACATTCACCCACATTCCTCCCCAAAGAGAGAGGGACTAAGGGAGGTGGAGGAAGGCGCTTTGAGATGCTTAGTTTTGGAATATCTTGGCTGGAAAGAACCATCTGCTCTGGCCCTTTCATTTTATACATGGGAGACCCATGCCCAGTGTGGCTCAGAGCCCTGACCCTGAGCTCCTATCGGAGCTAGGATGTGGCCCAGGATCTCTGCCTCCTGGGCCAGTTAGGAAAGGGGGGAAGAGGGGGAGGGGTGCCAGGAGGGAGACCAGGACTTCTGGGCCTCACCTGCTACCCTGACTCAGCAACACAGCAGTAGGCATGTGACCTGTTCCTGGCAGAAGCCTGGCTGGTGGCTCTTTTTGTTTCAGGCTCTGGGTTTTATCCCCTTGGCTTATGGTGGCCCCTGGGCTTACAGGGAAGACCCCTCTGAAAGGATGGATAGACCCTAGCCCACCCATCCATGCCCTGAAGAATTTGGGCTCCAGAGGCACCCCACAAGGAAAGAGATGAAAATCTGGGAGAGGGGGGACTTGGGGAACAGCAGGGAGGGGAATGTGGTGGTGTGGCAGGTTCCCCAGGAATGGAAACGGGGAAAGAAGGGGAGGAGAGCCAGGAGGGAAGCCAGGACTGCTGGGCCTCACCTGCCACCTCGACTTAGCAACACAGCAAGAAACTGTGGGAAGAGAAATCCTCCAGAGGAAGGGGATCTGGAAGGAACTCTCAAGGCTGAAAAGGGAGTCAGAGCAGCCACTGCAACCACTCACCTCACAGATAGGAAATTGAGCCTTGGGGGAGGGGTGTAGGGTAGAGTCAGGCCCTGGTCCTGTGGCTCCCATCTGCAGAGCATCATGGTGCTGGTCCTGGGAACACACAGTGGATCCTGATGGGTGAGTGGGAATCCAGCAACTAGGGGCCTACCCGAATTGGAGTCAGAGCCTCCAGATGGACAAGCACCACAGTGCAGACAGCAAATGCTAGGCAATGTGTCCATTCTGAGGGACCTCAGCTGACTCTGGGAAGTTCATGGAGAAAGATCCCCAAAGGTGTCAGCCTCCCACTGTCCACAGACACAGAGTCCATCTGGACTCAGCATGAATGTGTCCCATCACCTACAAGAGTCCTGACAACAGGGTGAAGCTCATTTTCTAGCTTCTAAACCCCCACACTCCACACTGTTATCCAGATATCCCTGCCCCCACACACCACAGCTGCCCACCTAGCCTCTTAGCCCACTCCCACTGCACACTTCTCTCATTGCTTTTTGTAGTACATAGAGGCAGCACCTCCTTCCCCACTAGCCACTGAGGAAAGTACTCGACCAACTTCACGAAGCTGTAAAAGTCAAAACAGTTACACCGTGGCTCACTCTTGGCTCTTCATTATGCAATAGTTGAGATGCAAGGAAGAGCTGCCTGGGCTGGGCTCTACTCCAGGCTGTCCTGGGTCCTGATGCCATGTGACGTTGGCCAGGCACTCCACTGAGCCTCAGCTTCCTCCTCTGTGCAGTGGATGACATCAGTTTTCCCTCATAGAGTGACTTTGAGAACCAAAGGGAAACCACCAAGCAGTCAGGCCCAGCCTTCTCTTAAAGAGTTCCTCCCTCCCCCAGCTCTGAGGAGCAGCAGGGCCTCATTAAGAGTGATTTATGCTTCACCAATAGGCTTTGTGCTCCTTGGTGACCTCCCCCTCACCCCTACCCCCTGCTCTGTAATCTGTCAGCAAATCTGCTGAAAAAAGAAAAACAAGATTCCCACTGAGTGCTTGTGGGCAGGCTGGACGTTTCTGTGAAGTCAGTCCAGGAGGTCAGTTTGCCGATGGCGGCAAGCAGGCGCCTTCCCAGAGGAGCAAGAGCCTGCAGAAGCTTCACATACTTCTATCCCTGCTCTGTGGTCTGGAAAACAGGGACTGACACCGTCATGTCCCTGCCCATATCCCTTTCTGGCCTGCCTGTGTTGACCAGTCCACCACAGGACATCTCTTCCCCCAGCAACAAGGGGCCAGTAGAAGGGCTAGCCCCAAGGAGGGTCTGCCCACATTCTGCTTCTGGGGCACCTCCTCCACCCCAAGTGAATCCAGGTGTCCCTGCCACTTTGTCTCACCTCATTCTTGGCTTGCTAAAAGTTTCCTGTCTCCTGGTCTTGGCACACACCAGCAGAATCCCTTCAGGGAAGGAACTGCTCCTACATTTCTTTGTTCTCATGAAACCACAACAGATTTTCAATTAAAAAAAAAAAAAAATCTGTTGCATGAGAAGTTTAAGTTCAGCTCCTATTGCTGGTGTAATAAGGGCTGTGGGGCAGTGGTTTGAGTGTCCAAGACCCTCTCTATGTCAGGGAGGAGTGCGCTTGGGCCCCACCTTCCCATACAGTGACCCTGCCCTTCCTTTACCTGCCAAATCCTGTCTGCACATGACTGTCTTCTTACTTTCCTTACCTGATTTCCTACAGAATCCTGCACAATGCCAATGAAGAAGTTGCCAGTGAACAGAGGTACAGTCCTTGGGTAGGGTCATTTAGAAAGCTGGAGGTAAGATCCAGACTTGCCCCAGAATTCCCGACTCAGTTCCACTTAGCCATACACTCCATCTGGGGCAGCTCAGGGACACAGGAAGGCATGATTTCTTTTGCTGCTTGCAAATACTAGGATTGTAACAGGAACTTTTTTTGAAAACTGGTTCTTGGCCTCCCTGCTGCCTGCGGTTAAGCCCTTCTTTGGACTCCAATAATTTAAAACAATCCTGAAAAGCCCAGCTGAAACTTTTCCTTAGACTCTGCTCACTCACTCTCTCTTTCTCTCTCTCTCAACACACAACACACACACACACACACACACACACGTATGGTGGTGGTAGGGGCAGCTTGCAGGGGCTCATCCTTGGAGCTGGCCTGCAGCCTTGAAGAAGGCTAGGCTGGAAACTGAAACCAGAACCTTGCTCAGGGTATATGTAAGGGGGCAGGGGACAGCTGGAGGAGAGCAGTGAGTGGTGATAACTCTAGTCTTGATTGATCTCTTCTAGGACAGCCCACTGTGCATGTGGGGGTGGGGAAGGGATCCATTTCCAAAAAAACGGGTCTAGCAATTTATGTGGGTTTTGGGAAATCAAAGCAGGTCAAGGGCAGGATCCAGAAAGCTGAAGTTAAGTCTTTTCTCTACTCCTCCTGCTACTCCCAAGTCTCAGGGCTGGCTCTAGGGTCCCTTTCCCATAGAGTCCCCTGAGAACTGGGAAGCTGGCTCTGGTGCCAGGAGCAAGGGGCAGGGCAATGTGCCTCACGGCTGAACCAAGATTAGCCCTGGGCCTGGGATTCCTGTACCACATGGACAGAGCCACACAGGGCAAAAGAAATGATCATCATCCACCAAAGAGGGCTGCAAATCTATAACAAGGTCGGCACTGCAGCCTCATGAGATGGCACCAACCTCCAGAGAAGGCCAAGGCTCAGGTAGAACTTTTCATGGTCTTGGGGGTGGGCATGGGAGAATTCCAAGACTAGAGAAGGTGTCTATCTCATTCCAAAAGTAAGATATTGAAAGTGTGTTTTAAAAAAATCTTTGGTGGGGGATTTTTGGAAAAGTGGTAGAAAAAGGTGAAGCCAGGGGAAGGTTAGCATCCATGATTACACATAACACAAAGTACTCTATTCTTTGCTCGAGATGAAGTACAAATTGGGCCAAATCAAGCAAGGAGACAGAATCAGTTCTATAATTCACATAGTCCCAAAGATTAAAAAAAGAAGCCAGTTTCCCAGGAGAAGCACAATCATTCCTGGGCCTGAGGCCAAAGAGAAATTTCTCCCACGGGTCCTCAGGAGGAAGATGTTGGTGATTCATGAGCTGTAGCCTCAACATTCTTCCTCCTGCAAATAAAATAACAAGTTCTTAGGATTTTGGCTAATAACATCCCATAGGGCAAGCCAATGGCATTATACCAAGGCAGACTTTTTGTTGGGGAGATTTTTTTGTGTGTGTGTGATTTGGGTGAAATTTTACAGAACAAATTCACATTCCATACAGCAAATCACACACACGTCGTCTCATGACATAGACTACAATTTACCCCAATGCAACAGCTCTCCTCCCACTTCCTCCTGATAGTTACCTCTTCCCTGTGTCCTTCCTTCCATGCACTCCTGACTCCTGAACTGTCTCCCTGTGCATAAACAGTCCTTCTTTCTCCCATGATTGTTCTCTCCAAGAAGTATATCTACCTCAGGTAAATGTTCAACTCATATGCCTGTCTTTTGTTTGGCTGGAAGCCATGACTGTGGGTTCAATTCCAGACCTGAAGGGCAGCTAGGGGCCATAGTCTCAGTGGTTCCACCAGGCCCTATCAGACCAGCAAACCTGGTCCCCTCCCCCCTTTTTTTCCTCTAAATGATTTTGAGTTTTGTTTCACATTGTTCTCCCTCTCTATCCAGGATGTCCTACATAGATCCCCCTCCAAGTGGTTGACAGTGGTAGCCGGGTACCATCTAGTTCTTCTGGTCTCATAGTCATATAGGCTGAGGATCGCATGGTGTACCAGTCACTAGGACTAATTGTTTCCATGAATCTTTGGTTTTCTTCATTCTTCTTTGCTCTAGACGAGGAGAGACCCATTGTTGCATCTAGATGGCTGCTTGCAAGCTTTTAAGATCCCAGTCGCTACTTGCCAAAGTAAGAGGTGGAACAATGTTTTGTGTAGTATGTTATGCCAATTGAGCTTGATGTCCCCTGTAACT